CAACTAGAAAAGGGTAAATTTATGGGTGAGTAAATGGATCGCATGCCTTTAAACAGCTGAGATTAAATGGAAATATATATATTATTCTACAGCTGTGACCGCTACTCTGACCTGTCAGGCTATAATGCTCAACGAGGAAACAAAGGATGCGGACTTCAATGGTCTGCTGCTGGACGATGAACGGGGTCGCAACTTTCGAAAGGGCATGTACAATAATAAGAGGCTTCAGGAAAATGTAAAAAGATGGCTACCCGATTTTGAGCGCCGCGGCCTACTTGATGTGTTCGATTAAATATACTTAAATTGAATTGTATACTGGACTTTTCGTTTTTTTTTTATTATTGAATAGATATTAGAAAATTGCTACTTTGTTTTAGGAACAAATTAAAAGGCTTATATACTAACAGTGGTTTGGTTTTATCTTGCTGTATAAGAGTCTTTGGAGTCTTACACAAATTATACAATTTTGACTGCCGATCTGACCCCCTACCCTTATTTGATGCGTAGCAATTAGGCCACTTGAAAAATCAACAATAATTTGTCTTAATTAATTCAGATTATGTAGTTGATCTTTTTAAAACTATCAACCAAATGCATTCTTACGATAAATATAATTAATAGACACACAAATTTTATGTTTTATGCTTTTTTGCCACATATTATAATTATTTCAGGGTAAGGGCGATGATTCTTGCTTTACATGGTGTAGCCACTCAAATATAATGTATTTTATATTCAGACAATATGTTTCTACATCCGGTAAGGATTTTGAAAACATGCAATTTTGTGTCCTTTTTGTTATATGGGAATTCATATGCTTCAAAATTCTAGAATCCTTTACATTCTACGCATACCTATTAAATGGAGCTATTCTCCTCACGCGTTGTAGTTTAGGCACTGTACATTTCTATTTTTTTAATATTTAATCTTTTAACGTTCTAAGATCTTATATCTTTTCTAATCTGCACAGTAAAATAATTTCATCACAATATGAGAGAGCATTTATATACACATGTATGTATACATAATAATGCACGAACACATGTATGCACATTCAGGAAGCGTCTATCTCAGTTAATCAGCGTTTTTACTTCCACTAAGCTTCGGTGCTCCCAAATTGCAAAATCATGCCGCATTTTATTAAAATGCCGCTGTGCAAATAAATTAAAAAGAGAATGATAATTGTTATTTGAACAAGCAGCTAATGCTGTGTCATTTAGTGCCAGAAAAAGGAATCTAACTCTTAAACAAGTTTAGTAGGGACACCCATTCGCTAAATACAGATGTAAAGAACGGAAATCAAGGACTTAATATTTTAACTTCTTGTCACGCTCTTATAAAAAAAAAAAACAATATTCGTTGCTTAATGTTATTTTTAATATTTTGTATAAGTTTTTTGTGTTAATTGTATTTATTTAATTTTTTTTTGAATTGGTAAATGTAAAGTATATATATATATATATATCTATATATAAAACTGTTTGTCCTGACTGACTGACTGATTGGTGATCAACGCACAGCTCAAACTGTATGAGCTAGGAAACTTTCACTGTAGTTACCTTATGTGACGAAGGTGCACGTTAAAACGGGCTTTTGGAGTATTCCACCCGCACGTGAGAAAAATGGCGAAAAACGTTTGTATGAAACTTTTTTGTTTACCATCCGATCGGCCTCAAACTCAATTTCAAAGTTCTTTTTTCAAAATCATTTGAGGGGTGTTTTACACTTTTCCAAAAATGTATTCCTTCTTGGTGGAAATGGGGGTCAAAGATTTGGTGGATGACGTTTCGCCCTCAAATTGATTTTCAAGGATCTATATGACAAATTCCACTCGCAACCGTGGTATATTGGCTTAGTTTGTTCACCGTCCGATTAGTTTCAAAATCCTTTTTAAAGCTTTTTGAGAACCGTGATTTAATAACATACGTGCCACGGGCAAGGCCGTGCTATACCCTCTAGTATATATATATATATATTAAGCAAGTGAAATCGAACTTTTTAATCTTTTCATGGATGTGCCCGTGAGCGAAAGAAAATTTGATTATTAATATTGGATGAAATAAATTGGCCTGGATAAGGCCGAATTGTAAACGCTGGTCATTTATATACATTTTTAAAATTAAACTTTAAACATCATATCGATTTTTAAATGTTTTATTAATTTTGAAATTTATTATATAACCACATATTAATTAATAAAGTTAAATTTTCTACATTTATATACATATAACTAGCGGGTATTGCCGGCCATGCCCATGGAACGTTTTGTGCTACAAATTTTAGATATTACCTTCCCAATAAGTACACGTCCGTAGAGAATGGAAATCAACCCATACCATCTTCCACTTCTATTCAAAAATATGTTTAAAGTGCATCGAATAAAGAACCAAATGTTGGAATCAGAGGTTTCCGCCAACTTTCCACAGTTGCGGATGGAATTTTCTAAATCGCTGAAACACTTATTGATTAAGTTTTTTTATGTACAGCTTTGATGCAAATCGATCAAAACTTAAAATTTCGCTCAAAAAAGCTTTCAATCGCATTTCTACTGAGCAAGCGTGAGACACGTCTGGTTCTTCTTATAGATCTTTGGAAATAAATTTGAACATACGCACGTCACCCACCAAATCTTTGACCTCCATTTCCACCAAGGAGAAATGCATTTATTCGAAAAGTGTGAAACACCCCTCAAATGAATTTGAACCAATTTCTTTAAAAATGAGTTTGAGGCCGATCCGATGGTATTTAAAAAAGTTGTATACAAACATTTTTCGATAAATACCCACTATCGTGGGTGGAATTTCCCAAATCGCTAAAAACACGTATTTATTAAGTTCTTTTGTAGAGGCCTGAAAATAAGTTTGAAGCAAAGCCCATCTATACCTATGTCAAAAAGTTCCCAAAGTTTTGAAGCAAAATATTTACTGTATTATAGTTAAAACCATAGATTATTGTGTATATATTAATGTACACTGTTTTTAGCTAGAACTGAGTTTATTCTAAAAATCCCAGCCAGCGTACTCTTTCACCACATCCTTGTTTTCCTTACGATGCCGATGCACGGCACTCGCTTCGCCCTTGGCCACACAACGTTTGCGCTGCTCCCGCTTCTCCTTTATATCTAAGTTGCGACGTATGCGATCTGTGATCACAGAAGGAGCTATCGTACTGGCTGTGGTGGAGAAGGAACGCTGGCTGCGTGCATCGTTTAACATCTGTTCGACCATCTTTAGACGGTACTTGCGCGAATTGGGATCTAGGCTGGCTAGCTCTGGCATTTCATCCGTTTCGAGGTCGTTGGAGCTGATGGAGTGCGCATCTTCAGCTGCGGGAGTGGCTTCTATTGTATTGGAAGCAGATTCAGTAGCCTTTGCCACAGCTTCACTAGCTTCCTGGGTTGGAATAGGCGTCATCCGTTCGGAATCTAGCACTTTCGGTGTTGCCACTATAGCCGAATCGGATATCTCGGGACCAACGCTTAGATTGCCCAAGTATTGCGTGCACGATTCAATGTAACGCCTAATTGCATCGTCGGACTTTTGTGCAGGCTTTGTCTCGCTGTAGGACACCTCGTTTTCTAATTGCCTACGGCACTCGTCAATCTCGGCGGCTGCAGCTGGCACCAAGGTTGGCGGCTCATCATCAGCCAACTGTTCTTGCTCCTTTTCCCCCTCCTCCACTTCCTCAATCATGCCATACTCCTGCAGCAGATCCTGCTCCATTTCCTTTGTGAATCCATAGCCAGTGCAGTGGACCTCAGCGTCTAAATCATCTTCGCGCACCAAGTCACTGAATTTGGGATAATCCTCGCTTTCGTAGGCGAACTTGCGACGGAACATCTCACGCACGCACGTGACGTCGCGCTCAAAAAAGCTGTCAAAGATTGGAAATTTGTTAGCGGACAATAGAAAAGATTGTTAACCGCTTACAATTGGGCATTCTCATGGGAAGTGGACATCATTTGAGGAAAGTCAATCAGTATGGGCTTGCCGGCATCAGTAAGCATCAAATTAAACTCATTGAAATCTCCATGAATGACACCCGAGTTTCCAAGGCGCACGATGAGATTCATAAGATCATCGTAGACCTGTGGTATATCCAGTAGCTCATGCACTTGTGTCCTGCAGTTAGGAAATAAAGACATATATTGAATGCAAATTTAACTACATGGATGTCCACTTACATGGGCCAACCGTTAACAAGCTCCATAAGCACACAGTGCCGATTGAAATCAATTGGCCTGGGCACGGGGAAGCCCCGATCGTATAAGGCTGACATATAGGCAAACTCCCGCGTTGCCGAGATGCGAGACAGATATAGCCAGGAGGCTTTGTGCCTGCGACCATGGTAATCGCGCTTTGATTTGACGTTGCGGAAACAGGTGCGACCCAGGCGATGCAGCTTAAGGCAAATGGGCGTGCCATCCTCATCAGCAACCACATAAATGTTGGATTCCTTGCCAATGCCAATCTGGTTGCCAAATGAGCTAACAGAACCACGCAGCGTGAGGGACTTCAGTGCGAGATAGTCGTAGCCCGTGTTAGTTAAACGATAGCCATCATCTGCAAGCAAGATATAGCTATCGAAAACGGAAGTCGAGGATTTTAAATCTTACTTACACTTCTTGCCACGCTCATAGGTTAGCAATTTGTGCTTGCAGAGCTCTTTCAGCAGTTTGTGCACGCCACCCGTTTTGAGATTGGCAATCGCAGCGGCCAGGGGACCTGGTACCAGTTCGTGATTCTTCATGCCCATTTCGATAGCTGTCAGCACGCGAAAGTCCTCCCGGGTGAGGTAGCGCAGCACCGTAACATTCAACTTACCCATTTTACTGTTGTTTTCAACAATTTGCGTGCATTTATTTTGTTTTGCGTTTTACACGTGCAGGTAATTCGATTACGAAGGCCGATGCATCGATATTAGTATAGCCTAAGCATCGATAAGTACTCAATAATCGAAAGCAAACAGTGTTGTGCATTATTTTTTCATTATCAATATTCGGTCACACCTCGTCTGGTCGTCGTGTACAAAAATCAATTACTATTACTGCTGAAACTGAATACGTTAAGCGTTTCCGCGAGTAAACAAAACGCCAGTCAACCACAATTAGCAATAGAAGTTGTACGTGTTTGTTACAAATTTGGCGCAACCAGCCGTCGCTAGTGTGTGTGCGAGTGTGTATGTGAGAGCGGCCATGTGAATGTGTGTGAGTGCGTATGACTCGTGCTTTTTGCCGACATGCAACAAAAAAAACTACTTAAAAAGTGGACACTCAAAGGCCGCCTTTACCATTGCACGCGAAATCATAAATTAAGAGAAAAGTGCGAAAACTAATGAAAATATTTTTTTTCTACTGTCATTGAATATAGTCGCAAAAATTTTATCCTCGCGGTGATCAAGTTTGTGTCTCAGTGTGTGTGAAGGTTGCATTCAAGTGCAACACATTCAATTTCAAATAAATCTAAATCCAAGTTTCCCCTCTCTCTCTCTCTCTCTCTGCCTTACTGTTTTTCGACCGTTCTCCCATCCGTTACGCCTGTGCGTGCCACCTGACAAGCAGTAAATCAACGGAGCAATAAAATTGGGAAAAAATGCAGATCAAAGAATTGTAAGTAAACTACTGTTAAAAAATTCATTTTTATTTGTTGCTCCAACTGAAGTGCAAAACGTGTGCAAGCCGCTGATTGTGATAAATCGATTTTACGCTCATATGTTCTCAGCTGCGACGCACTCGCTCTCCCTCGCCCTCTTGTTCGTTATTTAAGTCGCGTTGCCAACCGCTTAACAATTGCTTTAATTTATTAACTTTCTACTTTAACTTTGTTTTCTTACACTTGTGTTTTTGCTTCTGTTTGCGCTTTAAATATTGCCTCATATTGCCTCCCCTAGGAACAGCGCGCATTTTGCTTTTTATACTCGATTGGTCGTTGTTTGTGTTGTTGTTTACATGACTTCGCCGATGACGTAATGAGTGGCAACGCCAACTTCGGCTGTCTGATTTTCATTTGAGATATGCAAACCTATTTACTTTTTATTCATTTTTTTTTTCGCTTGTGGCGCTAAAATGTTAAAATATATGAAAAGCGATTTTGCCACGTTCACAATTGGTATTGTTGTTGTGAGTGTTGTAGAGTTTTCAATGGCTTTTGTGTGACTCATTTGGCAACTCTTCCTCTCTTTAGCGCTGCCACGCTCTCTCTTTCTCTCTCTCGCTCTTGTGTTGTTCGGCTTCACTTTTTGTGCAACTTTTCGCGCCGGTTTTCCAGCTGCTTTATCAGCGGCGGTTCCAGCAACGGCAGCGTTTTAATCAAACAAGTTGGCAATATTGATAACGACATCGCTTGTTCCTATAAAGTAGGTGCATGTATGTGTGCGCGCGTGTGTGTACTATTTACTGTCTTTCTCGCACTAACGCTCGTGCGAATTACCTGATATATGCGCCATTTAATTGCGCGAAGGGCTATTTGAGGCGTTATTTACACGATTTAAATGCTCAATTACTTTGTTGATGTGCTCGATTCGATTATTAAATAAAAACTGTTTCTATATATGTGCACATTGGACTAGTATAGTCAGCTAATCAAACAACCGGATATACATATCTAGCTTAATACTGATTAGGAATACGCACACATACTTAATTCTATAAATATAGATTATTATAGACGCAGACTTCTGAAGGCATACGTAATTATATAAGGTTATTCCTTCATAAATTTTTGCATTTTCCTATGTAAATATACACATCTGTTCATATTTCTCCGACATACAACTAAATTGTGATCACACGATAATTGGAACTTCTCCGTTGCAACTTATTGAAAATAGAAAATGTTGTTATTGATGAACGTGCTATTTTTAGCTATTATTTATTTATGACAGATCTTTTTCCAGTCCCTCAAATACCACGTAAATTTGCCCATGCTAAAAATTCTATTTTCTCATAGCTCTATGCTTCAAAATTATTATTTGAAAAAAAAAAGGATATTAAAAAATCATTTCTGACAATTATTAGAACTTTCAGCTATAATTCGAAGCATTCGATTTCCTAATTTAGTTTTATTTACTAAACGATTCTCATAGCGCGCGTACACTGTAGATCCGTTCTGTTGACTCATCAATCAGGCCGAGTGCATTTGCTCATTTGGAGGCTGCTCACGTTAGCCAAATCTCCGGCCAGCTAGCCAGCTAGCCAGCTTTCAGCGCCCAGCTCCCTGACGTTTTTCATTTATGAGCGGAAATTGCCAAAAATAAAACTTAAATTTGTAATTGATTTGACTTTGAGCGACAATTGTCAATTGAACAACATTTACAGTTTGCTCAGTGAAGCAATAACTGGATATAAGTATATAGTATTAAAGTATATTTATCTGTGCTGATCAAGCATCACGAATCATCTAGACTTTACATTTTTTGAAATCTGCTGATAATGGCAAACTTGAAAGTTCTCTTAAGCGGAACGTTTTATTGTCTAGTTTTTTGTCCCAGTTGTGCTTTAAAGAGATGTCGCTGAAATAATATTAAAAAGAAAAGCATTTAGTTAAAAATTTACTTTTATTATTTTCCGAATTTTGTTGTCCGTCAATAAAGCTTTCACTGTAATTGCACTGGTGATATAAATAAAATATATATTCCGTAATTTGAGTCCGCATAATACTCTTTGAAAGTGTACGCTGAGCAACAACAAAATAATCAACCTGCACAAAAATAGATTTTTCCTGGCTTTATACACAATCAGAAGGTCAGATGTCATACGCAATATTTCTTTAAACTGTTACACAACACTGTAGCATTTAGTAAATAATTTGATTAAAGTTTTAATTGAACTTTCTGTATTAAAATTGCCCGTATTTTTTACTCCTTTACTGAGCTTAAACGCAGTTTTATTTTGAAAGCATTGTACGGGTCTAAGAAGCTTTTTGCTAAATAAACATTTACGAAAAAGGTGCAAAAAGCTAAGAATAGTAAAACCTAAACAAATTTTCTATGAACAAAAAAGCGCCGGCGACAAAAAATAGCAATCGTTAATGAAATTAAATTCTGTGGCAGTCGGGCGGGGGCGATGTCGAACAGGGGGCAGGGGGATGTGGCTATTTGCAGAATAAGCGATATATTGTTTGGGATTCTTTTTTAATTTATTATATCGCAATTAATGCGACAAACCTGAAGTAAGCTCGTAAACAATATTTAACCGCACTTCAGTAATTAATTACGGCCGCCGGCCAGTCGAGAGATTGAAGGGCTGCCGCTTAAATTCAACAAGACTGATTCACGTTGTGTGATATACCGACTAGGGGATACCCTGAACCCTCTTCTTCCAACACCAAATGCAAATATATATACTATTTTAGAAGCTATATGTAAAGTTTGGTGACTTTAGCTCTTATTATTTACTGCCCAAAAAACAGGATATCGATATCGATTTTTATCGATTGCTTGGAAACGGAGTAAGATCGATTATCGGAAACAAACTCGATCTGCGCAGGCACTAGGAGCACCTACATCTAAATTTCAAATCTCTAGCTCCTATAGGTTCTGAGATCCTTGAGTTCATACATACGGACGGACGGACAGACAGACGGACATGGCTAGATCGACTCGGCTATTGATGCTGATCAAGAATATATATCATTTATGGGGTCGGAGATGCTTCCTTCTGCCTGTTACATACATATAATATACCCTTATACCCATTTTTAATGGGCTCAGGGTATAAATATGTAGAGAGCAAAAGTTATATAGAGTTGGGCAGAGGGAAATATTTTGGAACCCAGCAAGTTCAGTTCCCATCAAGACTCAGTTCAGGCTGAGTGTCAGTGCCTATAAGCCCTAGTGAACTATTCTTGATATTGTTTTAGCAGAATTAATAAACTTATTCAAATGGACACCAAATTTGGTAGGTCACTAAACGCATATCGTATCGTATTATAGGCACACGATTGCCATATTCATTTTGTATGAATATATAATACAACAAATTGCAGCTGAAAACTGGGTATACCCAAGTCGAGCACTCTCGACAAGATTACTTATGTTTAACCGATGCCATTGCCAACGAAAATTGAAATGTTTATGTGCTTTCCGACAGTGGGAGCACTTTTTCTATTATTTAACCAATTTTTTTTTATTTTTCAACCAGTGAAGCATAAACAACAGCTGCAAAGTAGGTGAAAGAAAAACAGGACTCATTTCATACACACATACAAATGTATAAATGCATTTTCAATGCTTTCTATTTATTCATTTTTATTGCGAATTCTGTGCCCATTTGGTGTTGCTTTTATTTGTTTGGAATACGTTTAATGTGATTTACTTGGATTCAAGCAATGATATCGATCATTTTTGCGTACACAAACTGACGACTTTCGATACCAAAATAATTCATTTTGTATAAAGCGCTTATTGCAAATTTAATTTCATTCACAAATGTAAGCTTTCCACTTTATGGCTTGTATGTAAAGGAAACAGAAATAATAATAAAAACATGTTTTCAAATATACGAATTTTAGATTCAAGCCTGGCGCATTGAAAATCAATAATGAACATCTGGAAAACTCTGATTTCGCAACTTTCCATTTAAGTTGCTAAAGAACCGAAGAATATAGTTTTATGAAAACCCAGTTATATTTACGATCATTAAGCTTATAGCTGGACTTCCTAAATCCGCACTTAAAGAGGCATTAAAACCCTTTCAAATCAAAATAAAACGACTTTTTAAAGAACACTTTTTATCATTTTAAAAAGCTCTTTAATCACACGATACTCCAATTCGCTATCTTTTATTTTTACTCGTTTTAGCTTTTTTAATATTATATTGTATTTATAAACGCGTGCCTTTACGACTTTAATATCTGCCCCGTTTTGTAGCAGTTCGCGTATCACATCTATCCCCCCTCTTCCTCCGCCTTAACCCTGATTACCAAGTTGAGGTCAATTTGCAAATGGAACACGCGCTCATTTAGCCAGCATTCGCAATGTGGTATTTTAGTTTGGTTTCCGTTGGTGTGTTTGTATATATTTTAGTTGTACCACAGATTAGATAACACGCCCGACATTTTACGGTTTCCCCACAAATGGAACCCCTGGCAAATTACGCTTTGAAACTCTCCAGTTTAATAGTCAGTTATTTTGTTTGTGATGCGTTATGCAGTGTGAACCCAGAGCAAAAACCCAATGTGAACTAAAAGCCAGTTTTTTTTTAATGCTAATGGAAGCATTAAAGCTGGTCAATTAGTATTAACTGAAGAGGTCTAACCTGAGCCCCAAACCAGCTTTTATTATTCGAGTTCTAATGCTTAAATATTATTTTTTGTAAACTTATTTGTGGCTGACGTGATGCTATGTAGTTACATTTAATATATTGGTAAAAATAGATCTATTGTATCGGCAATTGATGTAGCTGAAATTACGGACTCTCAAGGATATGTACCTGCAGAGTACTGAGTGGAGCCACAGCGATCCAATTTTATCTAAACGAATTGTTTGTATTTTTCTCTTTTGACTTAAACCATTTGAAATAGTCTTTTGAAGAAATTATATTGCTAATTATTATAAATAAGTTTTTATGAATTAGATTTTATCCACTTGTATTATTTCCAGCATTTTTGTACTTTAATTTCTTAACTAGATATCATACAAGTGGAATGCAGGCGCACAAACAGCAAAGACTTTGCCGAGAATGTCTCATCTGGGCCAATAAGCACATACACACACACACACACACACACACACACACACACACACACACACACACACACACACACACCCTCCTCTCTCTCTCTCTCTCTCTCTCTCTCTCTCTCTCTCTCTCTCTCTCTCTCTCTCTTTCTATCTCTGTCACTCCCCTCTCCCTCTCTCTGTCTCTAACACACGCAGCCGTGCATTCACTTTCTATTTTCAATTACGCCCACAAAGGCAAAACAATGCCTCTGTGTTTCGGACTCAATGGGTCGCCCTTGCCTCAACCTCCGCTCGCACAATCGTTGGCAAGAATGTGAGTGTGTGTGAGTCTGCGTGTCAGGTCTCATTAAGAGTTCTTCAATATATTTTTGATGTTATATTTCGTGACTCTCTTGACTTTAACCGTCCACACACTTATGTCAGCTCAAGCACAACGCGGCACTTTCTAAAGTGCCTCTTACTTGTTTTTGTCTCTTTCATGAAAACAGCTTTCTGTCTCTTTCATTTGTTAAATTCATGCGTGTCATATAAAATACTAAAGTACTGCAATACCCTGGCTTCACTTTTGGCTTTTGCCTACACCAATTTTTGCATAATATTTTTTATAGCTTTCTATAATATTGCATTTTCTCTTGAATTTTCTATCTGTTTGTTGTCGTTTCGCTTTGCTTCAAAATTTTCATACACAATTCATTTGATCTCTCACCATTTGATTTTTGACCCAGTTATTTCAGCCCCCCTCCTCCGCCTCCTCCAAAAACTTATTTACTTATCTTATTGGCACCGAATTTGCCGCAGCCATTTCTCTGCTGAGGCTTTGTTGTTGTTTCCATTGAAATTGTTTGTTACTTTGAGGGAGGTTCTGGTTGTGCTGAGAGAAACTTTGAGCAAAGGGACAGACGCGGACTCTTTATGAGCACCATTACTTTATCTGAAACTTTTCCAATTTGAATTGATTTAACGGCAACTTATTAAACTGACAAGCGAAACGGAAAACTCAAGATTTTGTTTAAATAGGCCAAAAGTTAGCAAGTAATTACTGGGATTGGGTTAACTGCAATAGAATGAAGCTTCCGATATGTACAACCTTTTTTGGGGAGGTGTGTTTATTTTACTTCTTTCTTGCTATTGTCACGGAAAAGTTAAGATTATTGACAGTGGAAGCATAGTTTAAATCAATTCTGGTCAATGGTTTATGATAATTAAACATTCTGTAAAAGAAAAAGGGAATAGCTATGATATGTATTTATTATTATTGCCTTATGTAGCAGCATATATATATATATATATCGCTTGTAGATACGTAGTAAACAAACATTCTATTATCAGTCTCATTTCATAGAAATATCGAAAGTTGGTATCTCTTATGTTTATAGCCAATTGAATGTGAGCAGCATTAAAAGTTAAAACAGCTATTGTTTGGTCAAAAAAAAAAAAACAAATTCCTTTAATAAGCTCGCCCAGCTGCAACCTTTGATCTCCTGTCCACTAAGCAACTAACCCCCAGCTTAAGGACTTTGTGTTTGGCACACCAAATTAAGTGTAAATAAGTCAATTTGAATGGAGTCCCGATTTGCGAATAAATTGGCCAGGCACGCCCACTCAAGCATCGGGGCGAACTGCCTGCGAGCGCTTCTAGTTGTCAAGTCGTGTTGAACTCTAACCTTTATTGAGTTGCAGCCGAGTCAACTTGCATGGCCGCACTCTCAGCACTCGGCAAAGGTTAAGTGACTCGGCTCGCTAGGGTCCGATGTGGCCCGATTAGGCAGGCAATTAGCAACACATCATTACACGTGTCAACAATGGCAAAAGGTTAATTGCTACTGGAAGTCGCAAGACATGACGACGACAGATACTGCCACAGTCACAGCCCCTGACAACAGACTGAAAATTCTCATTGTTACCTATAGTTAATTCTCATAGTCTTGCTCAGGCTGCCAACTTGATTGGGACAACAAAAACACGCCGAAACTTAAATACTCTTGCACATATATTTGCAGGATAATGAAGCTAAAAAAAAAAAGGTTTTGTATACAACTCGTTTTTCGACCTATTCTTATATAGCTATAAAACTCATAATCACTGAAAATGATCATCATATATTAAAAAACAAAAATATTTTTAATTTTTTGTTATTTTAAAACTGACTAGACTCGACTATTGATACTGATCAAGAATATATATATACTTTATGGAATCGGTGACACATGTCATGACTTAATAACTATGCCTTATACAAGAGTATAAAACGGTGACGATGTGCAGGCAGCTGCTCATAAAACGTGGCTTAATTCGAAACTTGACTGCGTCAGTTTTTGAGGCCAAGTTTTGCACCTTAGCCAGTTTAACGAGTGCGTCAAAAGCTTACGTCACAGCCGAGAAGAATCAAAGCTTGCGGTTTCACTTTTTATTTCCCAGCCAAAAATATTGGCTCCAAGGCAGATCCAACGGCTATTTTAACAAGTTTGTTACGCGCTTTCAATATTCATACATGTATATTTTTATCAGCAAATCGAATGTTAATAATCTGCTAATAATGTGTCTGTTCAGGTAAATATCTTAATATTTCCCTCTTCTAGAAAAAATGAAAAATGAATGGAAATACAAAGTGTTAATCTCATTTTGTTCAGATGTTGTCTTGGGATAGTTCGCAAACTTCATTTTTAATAAATGCTACTCTAAAATCAGAATATGTTTTACACGTTAACTTTTTTTGTTTATAAGTTTCTGCTATTTAGATATTTTCTTAAGCAACGTGCGTCTTGAAGGGCATGCAAACGTTGACTTGACTATAAAAATTACTTGCTTTTCGTATTTGTGCCAGTAACATTTTTCAATTTAGGTTATCCCACAAAAACCGCAACAAACTGAAGCCATTGCGAACAAGTTTCAAGGCCGTCGCAATTATGTTTTGAATAAACTCACGGAAAGACCCTCCTCCCCTCTCACACACTCTTGTGTTGCATGTGTAAAAGTGTGAGGCAAGGCTTGTTTAAACTTAAAGTGTGGCATACTTTTCGGCTGTGGAATTTCACTTTCCAGCCCAACGAAAAATGTGTGCGTTTGGCCTAGATTTAATTAAAAAATAAAATACATATTACATTTACTTAATTAAAAATGCCTTATTTCATTTACACACACACCTTCACTCTTTATGTCCACTTCTCTCATTGCAGCCGCGTGACTTTGCCATTAACCGTGGAAGAGGTAAGAGAACAAATTATCCTGCCACTCGATGGTATTAACGGTTACATTTCTTTTCACTTTGCTCTACAGTATCAAATAGCACAATTATTCTCGGTAGCGGAGGCATCAAAGGAGAACACGGGCGGCGGCGAGGGCATTGAGGTATTAAAAAACGAAGCCTTCGAAAATTTCCCATTGTTGGGTAAGCAGCTTGCCAATTAACGAATGCCGTTTTCGAGTTTTACTTTACTTATCCTTGCTCCTCTACCGTTCTATAGGCGGCAAATATAATTCCGGTCAGTATACATATAAGATCTACCATCTGCAATCAAAAGTTCCAGCGTACATAAGACTGTTGGCGCCGAAAGGCTCATTGGAGATACACGAGGAGGCATGGAATGCTTATCCTTATTGTCGAACGATTATTACGGTAAATATATTCAATGCGAAAACTCTCTGTAGAGTTCTCCAATTTGCATAGCTACTTAAAGCCCGTTTTGAATGAATGGCAAGCATTTGTATCAAACTGCAAATCTTAGAAATTAGGGCAACAAATTAATTGAGAAGACTTATTTTGTTTAAATATACATTTTTTTGTATTTAGTTTTCATGTTGCCAATTATCTCATAATATTCATTTATCACCCTAAATTGAAGAGCTTACTTTTTTATGAATTCAGAATCTTATCTGGCATTCTTTTTATGGCAATCCATGCGAAGGGAATCCCGATGAATCGATCAATTCTAAATATACAAATTAAGTGAATATTATCACAAATAAAGATTCTTTATGATGAACTCGAATTAAAAACCATTTCATGATCTGTCGGTAAATTGCCTATTTAATTTTTTACCAAATCAAAAACTTGTAAAGCATATAGTATTGTTTTCTCTAAACTAACTTTGTGTTGAAAAAAGATAATTTATTATTTTCATAAATCAATTAAATTTCTCATAATTTTGTTAGATAGCTTTAATAGGCCGAATCAATTGAGAAAAAATTAATATGTTCATATAACTGAAATGAGTTGGAAAATCATATAATTATGTATTTAAACTATATTGATTATAAATGCACCCTCTTTTAGAATCCCAAATTCATGAAAGATGCATTCAAAATAATCATCGACACGTTGCACGTCGGCGATGCGGGAGACTCTGAGAATGTAAGTGAAATTTTATAGCAGTGTTTAACTAATTTGTTTGTTTCTTTCTTTTTCTTCCTTTACTTACACTATATTTACGCATAAATACTAACAATATTTATAAAAAAAAAAAACATCGAAAACTGTCTTTAAACCAAACCGATCATTTAACATTGCAAATTCGTATTCGATTGTGGAATTTCAATTCAAAATTCATTGGGTGCGTTTTTGTTTGGGCATTTTGTTTATAATTTGACTGTTAATTGTTAGAATCCCCGCTATATGAATCAAAATTTTTTCATACATGTTGATTCACTACATTTTTCCGACGATTGTGGCACATTGAATAATGTGAGTGTTTTGGGTATTATCTATGATTTCATTATATTTTATCTTTGCTTATCTCTTACCTAATTCATTATGTTTTCTCGCTTAAAGGTTGTTCACAACTTGTTCAATGTGCATGTCTTTTGTGATAGCCATTAGCTACTAACCTTTTATTGTACTTTTAATCGCTTTAAATGTGTTGTCTCTTAGCTCTCAGTATAATTCCAGTTCTAAATCGCCAAAATTTTGATTATCATACTTGCAGGTGCACGAACTGTCGCCCGATAAGCTGAAAGTGCGCGAAGTGGTGCACATTGACATTGCCAATGATCCGGTCCTGCCAGCGGACTATAAGCCCGAAGAGGATCCGACCACGTAAGTTCTAGCACTCTGAATCTCCTAGTATACCTACGCTTTACCCTTAAGCGTATTATCGTAATATCCCAGCTAAAAAAAATCCCTCGGCCCAGAAGAGAGCAACTAGTATCTATAAAGAAATCATCCACCTTTACCTGTCTATCGTGTACCTATTCCTACTCTAACCAGTACTAACCAAGTATATGTTTCTTTTACGCAGCTACCAGTCAAAAAAAACTGGCCGTGGACCTCTGTTGGGCCCGGACTGGAAAAAGCGTATAGATCCTGTGATGACCTGCTACAAGTTAGTCACTTGTGAGTTCAAATGGTTTGGCCTGCAAACAAGAGTAGAAAATTTTATACAAAAGTCAGAGCGACGTCTCTTCACAAACTTTCATCGGTAAGAGAATGAACCACAAATCCAATATGAAAATATCAACAGTAAAGATTTTTATTCTGTTTTACAGTCAAGTTTTCTGTTCAACTGATCGCTGGTACGGTCTAACAATGGATGATATACGCGCCATTGAGGATAAGGTTAAGGAGGAGCTGGACAAGGCGCGACAGACGGGCGAGGTGCGAGGCATGCGTGCGGATGGTGATTAAATATAGTAGAAAATGTTTAAATATGTACATGTAAAAACACAAAACAAAAACTATGATAAAACAAACACAGGCAACTGAATAATATAAATTGAAATGCATAAATAAATATACAAACCTTATTTAAAAAGGAAAAAAATAAATATTACAAACAACAAAAGAAGCAAACACCAAGTGTATAACAACAACAACAACAAAAACAGCAAAGCATAGCTCTAGTGTAGCGTCCACACAGTCCCCAGCTCCCGGCCCCACACAGCCCCCAACAACAATAAGCATCAAGCAATAACAATAGTGCCCGTTAGTTAAGTTTTTATTTTGTATGTAAAATGTAAGCAGGATAAAAACACACACAACCTCACATACACACACACAGAAACAGACTGGACAATTTAAATGGACATCCTGTCCAACCACAAGCCTACCCAATAAAAGTCATACTAGCGTTAATTATAAAAAATGTAATCGGATAATTTAAAGTTGTTTTCTCGAATGCAATTTGTATTATTAAAACGAAACGTTTAAGTTGGAACTGTAAATGAAACTAACTAAATGACAACTGGTGTAAAAAGTTTAAGAGTAACTGCAGCAAAAAAAAAAGAAAGAGCCATTAAAAAATATAAAAATTTATGTAAAATGGAATGAAATGAATAAAAAGTGCATCGAAGCCAAGCAAAACCAACAAACAAAAGTCGGAATCAACTTAACTGTTGGCCTGCAATAGTTATAGATATATACACACAAACACACACACATACACACAGATGAAAGACACGAATTTGCATTTGGAGATGCGGAAAATGCTAAATGTTATTCAAAGTTTCAGTTCATGAAATATTTAAAACTATCCAGCTGTACAAAGAAATCCATAGAAGTGGGTTTTCACTTAAATATCGGTATTCTGTGCATACAAAATATTGTACTATTAAATGAATTACAAGTTGAATACTTGAAATTTCCCTGATCTCTTGACTAGACTTGTTTGTGTCACAACTTTTCCGTTTGATAGTTCATCACAACACCAATTCCAACGCAGACTACTAGAACTAGTTTTAGAAATTTCAACGAATTTGTTTTCTGTCAAACCAATATATAATAATATATACTGCCAGAATTGTATGTAATGCTAAAGATCGATTCAAAGCACATAAGCAATGAATACTCTACACACTTAGGGGCACCTCTTAACAACTCCGAATTCCGCTCTAGGCACACCGAATAGTTCAAGTACTTGCCGCTATTTTCTGCTCAAAGTATATACATTATCTATCTATAAAACGTCCATTTTAAAGAAAACCTAATAAACGGCTTTTAAAAGAACTATTTAAAAAATATAAAACAAATTAGCGACACTCTATTTTCATGAACGCAAAGGAGCCCCCCTATAAAAGAGTATAAATATATATAGTAAATAAAAACATGCTAAAATCTTTATTTAAACTATAGTGAAATTAATGGAACCTCATAAGCTTACATCGTGGATTGCAAAGAGTTAAAAAATATGCGTAGTAACAAAAATTATGCTGCAAGTATTGCATATTTAATGGGGCGACTGCGTTTGTTTCCAAAGGCAATATGTGAGGCGGGTTTTTCGTTCGAACCTTGACACAAAGACACACACACACAGACACTGGTACACACATACAAATATGCAAACATTGCATTGACACTGTGTAAATACGTGTGTATGCTGTCAATATGTATGTGTGTATGTAAATTATACACACACACACGGTAGTAAAAAATATATTTGAAAATATGTTAACATAAAATGCGTTATAAGATAAATATTCAAAAATAAACATGTATAAATATAAAATTGTTATTTGCTGTGCGAGTGAGTTCCCGTTCAATTTCGTTGGTTCGTTGGCTGGTTTATTTATACAGCAATTTTACGATAACCTACTAATGTATAGACATACATACATGCATACGCAATAACTTTTTCCAAAATGCGCTCTAAATGTTTATTCGAATTAATTTGTACTCAATCTGAAAATGAAAAACTATGCTAGTACATTTGTATATTCGTATGTGTTTTCAATTCTTTGCAACGGGTCTACAGATATTTATTCTTATAAGTATGTATGTCAGGCGTGTTTTTTATTCCACTGATGATTGACTCTTTATGAGGAATGTAAAGGCTTCGGCATTGTCGGAGTTAGCTATTCTCTATTTTTTGATTTGTAGCAACTGTCGAGGGACTCAAGTTTCAACAATAAATCCTTTTAGGTCCCATTATCAAAGCAATAAGCAAATTTCATATTATTGGCCTTGGGAACCAAAAATTATTGCACACATTCTACAACAAAAATACAAAAATTAGATTTGAAATACAATTTAGGCATTCAAATAAAATATACACCACGAATCTAGAGAGTTAAAACAAAAACACAAAAAAAAAAACAAATATTACATTTTCATAACTACGAGTTAAAGCCAATAACAATGAACATTTATAAATAAAATTAAATATTTTTAAAATAAATCCGCGTTCAAATTTTCTTAAATCAATTTATAAACAAAAAAAAATAAATAAATAAACCAATTCGTTTTTATTAAAATTAATGTTAATTGCGTATAATTTGAAAATGTAATAGGAATGATAATATTAATTATATATACATAAATCACTTTAAATTAAGTTAAACTAAATTATGTACGAGTAATAATAAAACAAGTTATAAGCTGTTAAAAACATTGAACATACAAATTGTATTGTAGCAAATATTTTCATTAAAAAATTAAAAACAAAATAAAGCATTATTAATGACATGTTCACCACAATTTTATTATACAGACATAGGATAGGATATTTAAACACAGATACACATAGATTAATAATTGGCTGTTTTTCTCTTCAGTCGGTTAGCCAAAAGAATTGACGCACCTCCTCCTCATTGGAGGGTCGGCAATGAGGCGGCGGCTCAATCAGTGAATTACGCAGCGCTTTCATGGCCAGAGTATTTCGCTTGGAGGCCAGCGGGAGATCAATAATGCGCTGCGGATAATGAAACCCAAGGAGGCACTCGTAGCGCTCCTGCTGCTCGGATGACATACGCCATGGCTCGTGGCTAAAAGGTGGAGAACGAGTTGAAGGTTAGTATATCAATTTTATTAAAAACAATGTAATTCCAAGGTCTCAATGCATAATATTTTTATTCCAAATATATTCTTGAGCTTAGGATTTGTAGTTACAACTCAGGGCGACTCGCTTTGTTTTTTATGACAGTGGGTTTTCGTCAGTTTCCCAAGTATTCCATCAATGAGTTACATTTGCAAAAATTATATGATTATGCCAAACTGGACTCACATGAACTCCTTGGGTACGTTCTTTAGTTCTGGCACGTACTGCTTGATATAGGCGCCATTGGGATCGAGACGCTTGGCAAGAGCCACCGGACAGGTGACCAGCGAGGAGTCCAGCAGTCGTTCAAATGCCGAACTGGATACCCACATCCAGTTGCCAGCACAGACAGACCAATCCGCATCCAGCAGATACTTGAGAAAGTGCTCCAGTCCCAGCTCCCAGTTCTGCCAGAGACCACCACGGGTCAGGAATGTGGCCACCGTGTTGCGCAGCGTATGATGCAGCCAGCCCTCAGCGAGAAGCTGCCGCATGGCGCTATCGATCAGTGGGAAGCCCGTCTGACCCAAGCGCCAGCGTTGAAGTTGATCGGCATCCGGTTTGGACCAGGGTATGGTCAGGCAGATCTCATTGCCCTCCATGCGATCGTACTGCGGATTGTTGACCGACATCGTGTAGAAATATTCGCGCCAGATCAGCTGTCCGGTGATGTGAGCACCACCCGTCATTTGAACGCCTCGGACGCAGGCGCGAAGCTGCACATTCTTGAAGAGATCATGCATGCTCCAATAGAATCGGCGCACCGACAGGCAGCCGAAACGCAGATGGGCGCTCATCGACTTGGGCGTTTCCAAAATGTTGGGCAAGGCCTGATTGGGCAGATAATAGCCCCGCTCGAAAGCGTGCTGCTCCACCTTGAGGCGCTCACCGAGCAGCGACAGTGCCTGCGTCTCACCGCCGATCCAGTTCATCTTGGCCAGGTAGCCCATATTATCGCTATAGATGTTAAAGTCTTCCGGCGTCGGTGTCTGCTCAAAGCAGCCGATATCTTTGCGCAATTCCGGTGGCAGCTGCGCAATGCTAACGACCTCAAAGTTCGGATCAGGGATGGGTCTTGGCGGCAAGCCAATAATTTGCACCGTGTGCTGTAGATGACGAAGGATGTGCATGGATAAGTAACTGGCAACCAGTTATATGCCAGCAAAAACTTACCAAGAACATCTGATAGGTTAGTGGCGCAATGCCCCCGTTCGTATCGATGACCGTGCGTGGATCCCACAACGTGTGTGACACCTTCTCCACATACTCGATGCTCAGTTCGTGGCACAGGCTTTTCGTTGCCTCGTCGCGTTCGTTCCAGATGGGTTCGCAGTCCTGCTCCACGCAGATCTTGTGCAGACGCACCCGCTCGTGCAGCCGTCGAAATATCTGGGTCGGCTGGCCCTGGCACATGAGCAGACCACCGCGCCCCTTGGTAGCCTTCTTCAGCTGCATATCGATGTCCTGTAGCGAGTCCAGCAGGAATCGCATGCGATTGTAGCCAACGCTTTTGGTGCCTAGGAGGGGGATAGTTATTGCATGTAATTCATGGGATTGGATTATTGGTGCCCAGAGAAATACTTATGTAGCCTGAGAAATTGATAATATTAAGATATTTATATGCCTTCTTGGCGTATGAGCAATATTTTAAATATTGCGAAGAACTTTAGGTTTAAGCTTGAAAACATAAAAAGCACAAACAACAAAAGTAACTCTCGTTTCCTACTGCTCTTCACTGTTTTCGGGAGGTTATTCGATTCTTATAAAATTTCTATATGCCTTAAAAATTATAATCTTTTCTATCTTCAAATGAGAACGAATGTCTTTTGAAAAATATTATATAAAAAAAAACCTATCCGATTAGAAGGTTAAACATTTTAGAAATACTTTTTCAATATTTAAATAATGACTGTACTTAAATAATATTTATTGGAGATTTTATCTCTATACATGCGACTGTTTGTCCTGACTGAAATTGCGAAAAATGTTTGTATGAAACTTTTTGCTTACCATTC